CACTCAGATCTTTTCTTAGAGATTCACAAAATGATATATTTTCTTGTTTCTCAGGGCTCATCAACATACCAGCAGTGGCCCTTGGAATATTCTCTGGGGGGATAGTTATGAAAAAATTCAGAATCAGTGTGTGTGGAGCTGCAAAACTCTACTTGGGATCATCAGTCTTTGGTTACCTCCTATTCCTTTCCCTGTTTGCACTGGGCTGTGAAAATTCTGATGTGGCAGGACTAACTGTTTCTTACCAAGGGTATGTTCCCTTATTAAATAATTTGAGGATATTGTCTTGTTTAATTAAATCAATTATTGGTGGAGTTGCAAAAAATGAATTTGATTTTTAGACAAGATAACTATGGTAAGAGATTTAGTATCTTATTGTGGAATAACTGACAATACTTAGAATTGGTTATTGTCACCAAAATGTGTCATCTTTTTTTATTTTAAATGTCATATATAAATAAAAAATTGATAATCCCAAATTTTACACTAGAGAACCAACCTGATTAATTTAGAAAAACAACATGATGGTGGAAATACAAACCTTGAATCAGGTCTCTATATTTAATGAAGTGATGTATGGGCAGTTTAAACTAATTCAATTTTCCCATCTTAAAAACAGAAGTAATAACTGCCTTTTAAGTTTCTATTAGGTTTAAGCAAGTTAATGTACATGAAAGTGAATACTACTTGCCTAACACAAAATAAATGTGCCATTCATGGAAACAATTGTATTTTTCTCCTTTGGACACCTGAGTAAGGGGAGTTATCTCTATACAATCCTCCATAGTTGCTATTGTGCTTGAATCATGTAAAGTTTCTGAAAAGAAATGCCTGTCCTTCAACCTGGTGCTCCCCATAAAATTTCTCTTTAGCTGTGTGTCTTGCAATTGGTCAGGATAATATTTAGTAATGCTCTCAGACCTGCCATCTTATATGAGGTGGGTGATAATACATTGCTTGATTTCCAGAGTCTCTCTCAATACGTGGTTGGATCTTGTAGGAACTATATTGCCCACTGAATCTTTCCCATCACTCTACCCTTTTTTTTTTTTTTT